GGTATCTTATGTGCCCCCCCTATATATTGTTCCTAGAGTCGCCACTGGAAAGGGGCCATAACTGCATGTATGCCATGTATAAATGTAACATTTACAGGTATGTATTTCCTCTCACAGAGGTTGCAGTACCCCTGACAATGCCTTCATTGCCATTTTCTCTCCAGTAGGAATGAGCCATCTTTTTTTCCTGTTCATACCCATGGCAGCGCTGACAAATGGGTTATAGTCCTTCTACCCCTAGTTGACAGGAAGAATAAAGGGTTAACGTGTAATACCTTTAGCCTAAATAAGCCTCTCCTCATGGAGTTTCCCAGTCACTCGGAGCCGTTTTTTGGCGCCAAATTCAAATAATGTTTCTATCAGGGCTGCGGAAATTAACGATTAATCCCTCGATTAATCGTTAATTTTTTTGATCGATCAAAATTATTTTGATCGGTACTCACCTCTCCGACGGCTTCTGGGAGTTCCGTTGCAGATCCTGTGACGTCACGGACATCGACGTCACCGGGCTCCTCCCCCCTTCCCCAAGTGGCTCTGTCGGCTAACGAAGGGAAGGGGGAGGAGTCCGGTGACGTCAATGTCCGTGACGTCATCGGACTCCTCCCCTTCGTTAGCCGATGGAGCCTATACACATACAAGATTGTTTGCAGCTTGACATGTACACATGAGGTGGGTCGGGTCACCACTTGGGGAAGGGGGGACTACTTTTTTTCGATTAATCGAACATGAAAATTTTAATCATTACCATCCCTAGTTTCTATATATTCAGGTTTTTAGCCTTTTTATTTGCTCCCTGTGCTCTCACAGTCATTATGGACATCAGAGAAAGCGGTCTCTCACCTCACGAGTCCGGATCAGTGGAGCTGAGGTGAGATTAAACTTCTAAATGAAGGACGCATACTTCCACATTCCCATGGCTCCAGATCACCAAACATTCCTCAGGTTCTGTGTCAATCGCAGGCATTATCAGTTCAGAGCAATGCCGTTCGGCCTCATCACCGCTCCCAGGACTTTCTCCAAAGTTCTTGTTACCATCATAGCAGAGATTCGGAACAAGGTATCAACATATTCCATTACTTAGACGATATATTGATCCTGGCAACTGCGAGAGCAGAAGCAATCTTCAGCAGAGACATCAGTATGGATATCCTGAGAGTTCAGCACCAGCCTGGGCATAGTTCAGCTATCCAGTGACAGAGTTAGCAAGATCGAACAGAAGGTGGAATCACATAGATCACAGCTGAGTCTTTCAAGAGCCTTTTGGGTTCCATGTCTTCAACCATAGGCCTTACTCGATGGGCCCAATGGCATATGAGGGTGACTCAGAGTTCCTTTCTCCAACAGTACAAATATCAGGACAGCAGCAAATCAGGATTTCGCACGAAGTCAGACGCTCCCTCGTGTGGTGGTCCCGAGACTAGAATCTGCTCCAGGGTTTCCCATTGGGGGAGATTCCATGGGTTACCATCACCACGGACGCCAGTGGAATGGGCTGGGGGTTCATCTGGATGACATGTATGCACAAGGGATGTGGCCACAGGAATGGAGGAACAGGTCTTCCAATCTGCTGGAACTGAAGGCGGTATTTCAAGCTCTCCGTTTTTTTCAGGACCGGATTTGGTCCAGATGAGTCAAGGTTTTGGTGGACAATGCCACTGTGGTGGCATGTCAATCATCAGGGGGACACAAGGAGCCCCAGCATGATGCGGATTCTGGCGCGTCTGATGTCTTGGGCTGCACAGAATCTGGAAGGCGTGAAAGCGGTGTATCTAACAGGAACGCAGAATCTAGTGGCGGACTACCTCAGCAGGCATCACATAGACCCTACGGAGTGGTCCCTCTCGAAGCGGATCTTCAACGATGTGGTACAGAAATGGGGCAGGCCACAGGTGGACCTGATGGCCTCATCCAAAAATTGTCAGGTCAGCAGGTTTTTGTCGAGAGCATTCGACCAGAGGGTCAGGATGTCCTATCACACCCATGGGATTGCGGTCTTGCAAACGCTTTTCCTCTATTTTCAATGATTATGTCGGTGCTCCAGAGGGTTGAGAGGGAGCGGGAGACGGTCATTGGTATCATCCCATATTGGCCGAGGCGACCATGGTTCCCTCTCATGTCCTTAAGTATCCGGGATCCGTGGAGCCTCCCAATATCGGAGGATCTTCTTTCTCAGGAGCCGATTCGACACCCGAATCCTCGAGACCTTCAGCTGACGGCTCGGCTGTTGAGAGTGAAAGGCTGAAGAAGTCTGGGTTCTCTCAAGCAGTCGTTGACACACTATTGAAATCCAGGAAAGTGTCCACTTCCACGTCTTACTATCATTTGTGGAATGTGTTCTCGGCATGGGCTAGGGATAACGAGATCGACCCTGCTCATCCTACTCCAAAGGCAATGCTGGAGTTTCTGGAAAGGGGTCTAGAACAGAAACTAAATCTCAGATCCCTCAAAGTACAGGTGTCTGCCATTTCTGCTGTCACCGGGGTCCGATGGTCCCAGGATTTGCATATTGTAAGATTTCTGAAGGCAGTGGGAAAGGTTAACCCACCTAAGAGGCCTCTCTACCCATCCTGGGACCTTCCTCTTGTTCTGGAGAAGCTTTCGGGTCCTCCTTTCGAACCGTTGGAGGAGATTTCGGCACAATTGTTATCTTAAAAAACTGTCTCCTTGGTGGCCTTGGCTTCCGGCAGGAGAGTATCAGAGCTCCAAGCCTGCAGTTGTCAACAACCTTTTCTCATCTTCTAGGAGGATAATGATTCTGAGGACTGTTTCGGAATTTCTACCGAAAGTACATACCAGTTTTCATAAGAATCAGGATATCGGGTTGGCCGCTCTCAGTTCACAGGGTAGAGACAGCTGCCTGGACTTGGTCAGATGTCTCAGGCTATATGTGGAACAATATAGGGAATGGAGAAAGTCTGAGATGTTGTTTGTTATCCTGGCAGGATCAAGGAGAGGGCTGGCAGCAACTAAAGCTACCTTGAGCCGGTGGATTGTGTCTACAATCATCAACGCCTATCAAGCGGCAGGGATAGCTCCGCCAGAAGGCACCAGGGCTCACTCCACACGGGCTATGTCCTCCTCGTGGGCAACGGCAGCAGGTTTTTCCTCAGATCACATCTGCAGAGCAGCTACATGGGCTTCCAAATCTACTTTTATTAAACATTACAGATCGGATGTTAGAGCTGCAGTTAATGACCAGTTTGGCAGGAGTGTGTTACTCTCTCGCCATGGAGTCAATCATTAAAAGTTTTTCAGCATGCATTACTGTGGCTATATGGTTTTATTTTCCCGCCCTGACTTCTGCTTGGGTAATCCCCATTTGTCAGCGCTGCCATGGATATGAACAGGAAAACTGAAAATGTAATCATACTCACCGCAATTTTATTTTCCTGGTTATATTCCATGGCAGTGCTAGACTCCCACTCACTGGGATATTTAGCTTGGCACTTAGGCTGGGAAACTTAGGAGAAGGAGGGGCTTATATAGGCTAAGGGTATTACATGTTAACCCTTTATTGTTCCTGTCAACTAGGAGTAGAAGGACAATAACCCATTTGTCAGCGCTGGTAATAACCAGGAAAAGAAAATTGCGGTGAGTATGATTACATTTTCAGTTTTAGATGCTAGCTGTGGACAGGGTCTACTTCCTGGTCTGATATATGCTGGCTCACATAAGACACAAGATTGGAGCAGCGACTACTTTAGAACACACACACAGGGACCATGGGGAACAAGTAGCCACCCTCCAGAAGGAAGGACAGTGTCTGCACCAATACATAGATGATTTGAGGATCTACAGCCGAGTGATACACAAATAAGATACATTATTATTAATAGTTAAAGTACTCAAATTTATTTTTAAGACTCAACTTGAGTTTAGTGTCACTTTAATACTAGCCTTACACTGTACAATCTCCTTTTGGTTTACTGCACCATGAGGACAAATCAGAACAATCCGTTCACTTTATTATAAATCAGGCAGGCCCCTGCATTACACAGTTGATAGTAGACATAGGGCACACCGTGTACCTTACAATCCGAGCAGACATTCCCTTGTTAGATTTACCAATACTATGTAATATGAGGCCCTACCTAAACTACCCAATCATTCTGTATCCAATAAGGCAGGCTCTTGCATTACATAGTTGTAGGTAGATCTAAAGAAGATTGTACAATTAGATTGTAACATGTGTGACAAGCTTTAAGTATATTGTCCAATCAGATTGTGCAGTGCATGGTTATGTTTACAGGGGATTTCCTATTTTGTCTTGCTTCCTGTTGGGTCTAAATGGCAGGAAGTGAAGGTAAATCACACCAATGAGACATGAAAGACAAATAAGAACAATAAGGAAGGTTTTAACCTTTGTACAGAAGAAATAAAGGAAGAATGTTGGCTCCACATACAGGTCAAACAGTGAAAGCTGCTACATGTGACATGTCTGCCTAGGTTGGCACCAACCCTAAACAGTGCTGTGTGCGATACAAGAACGCCCCGTATCGGTAAGGTCCTCCTGAGCACATGTCATGCCTTTCAGCTTAAACACAGCATGGCCGGGAAATGACAATAGGCTCATTCAGGGGAAACTCGGAAATTACGTCCAGCATAAGTCGAGCAAAGCCTTAGCCACGTGACCAGAGTGGAACACGTCAGGCCGCTCTCGTCGTCTGCCTCGCACCTCATTGGCTCACATATTCGCGCTTTGCTCTCGCGGCTTCCACACCTGACTCGCTATCCACTTACGCCAACTAGGATAGGATTGGCTGCACGACGCCTCCTTCGCCACCTGACAAGTACCGCCTCCTCCTTTCCCACGCTGACCATGCAGCGACCATAAGTGTCTTCCTAATGGCTGCAAGCCGTCGGTGGTGATACATCCTGTCCCGCCCTTCCAGGGTTCAGCCAATGGAGAACTGGTGTAACGCCCCCTTTCCGCGACTTGTGATTGGTTTGGTAGATGAGTGGGCGGGTACCGTCCCTGCGTTGTGTCAGAGGTGTCATAGCGGCCGGAACCGTCAGAATAAGAGAAGCGGAGATCGGAGTGTACGGTAATACTGGCACTGACAGCCCGAATTCAATGAACAGCTCCCCTGTGAGTATTAGGGCGCCAGCCCACTTCCGGCCTTACCTGGGCCCTGTATTGTCATATGATGGGATGGCTGTGTGTTCGGGCTCTGGGGCCCAGTGACTGTACCCGGTACAAACCGGCATCGTGTGGATGGGGGTGGGGACGTTTGTGGCCCTGACTTGAATCAGCATGAGGGGGGTTGGATGAGTTGTGGTCGACCATGTAGAAGGCGTATGTGTCAGGCTAAGCCCTGTGAAATCCTTGCTCTCCCAGGAACAATTCACAGCTGATCCTCTCCTGGCCACACACCATGTGTCTTCCCCCCCCCACTCTGCTCATGCTCTGCTAGGAGGATCCACAAGGCACACTAGGAATGACTAAGTTGCCATCATGACTAGCATTTATTTTATTGGAGCACCTGTGTCTTTTATCAGCTTAGCCAACAATGTGACCATATTATTCATATACTGCCATTAGAACTGTATGATGTGTTACTAGTTGTTCTGTCTTCAGTTGTCTGAGACGTTCCTGAAAATCTTAGTGAAAAGAACTATCCAGGCTAATCCTGAATTAAAACTAGTTTATTGTAAGAGGCATTGATGTACACATGAGCAATAATTATCCTGCAATCTCAGTCCCTCCGCCACACTGCCTGTAGACCTGTTTGTTCTCAAAATGGTTGATAAGTACAGTGCTCTAGATATGACAGCATGGCGGAGTCACTCACACAGCTGTCCTTGTGCTTCCCTACATCTGAGAACTTGCTGCTGGTTTAGACATGTGAAACGTTACTTGATGATATTTAGCTTGTTGCAGTTCTGCATCGTAAAGTATCACCATTTAAAAAAAAATACTTTGTTTCATTCTGTGCATCATGGTACTGCAGGTACTTCCTGTCTGTATGCATGCACTCCAGTGGTGGCTGCAGAGCATTTCTCAGGGCAGGTTTTTTTGATGGTGACAACAGTGGATCATGTCTGTGTAATGTGTGTTGAAACAGCTACTTGTTGTATTTAGTTTGAAGTGACACTAAACTCAGGAGTTAAACCTTAAAAAAATACATTAAAGTACCTGAACGATTACCAGAAATGCATCCTATTTGTGTATCACTCGGCTGTAGATCCTCAAATCATCTCTGAATTGTCACTGACACTGTTCTTCCTTCTGGAGGGTGGAGTTCCTGTGTGTTGTGAAGTAGTCACCGCTCCAAGCTCCCTTCCCTGTGATGGACTACAATCTCATGTTTAGTTACTAATTTGTATTGAGATTCTAGTCAATCACAGGAGTGAGGTTAGAGCTGTAACTACTTTAGAACACACACACAAGGACAATGAGGAACAAAAGTAGCTCCCCTCCAGACAGTAGGACAGTGTCCGCACCAATTAAGAGATTTGAGGATATACTTCTGAGTGATACGCCAATAAGACACATTTTTGTTAATAGTTAAAGGTACTTGAATGTATTTGAGATTTAACTCCGGAGTTTAGTGTCACTTGAACCCCGTGTGGCAGAATGGTAACCCTGGTGAAAAATTGAGACATAAACACAGCGTTGTCATCTTATAACAGGAGCAGGGGTCTTTTTAGCAGAGTCTTCAAGTGTTATTTTAATGAAACTTTAGAATAAAAAGGATTGGAAATGACTCATGAAATTGCAATGACATGTCAAAGCTTATGGCATTTTTGTTATTGGTTTTACATGTACTTTAACCATTTTGCTGACCTTGTGGAACAGATAAATGTGAGAGGGAGGCTTCTGCAAATGTGCACACCAGTAAGCCTATCTGATACACAGGAAGTGCCAGAATGTTTACATTCTGAAATATAATATGTTGGATTAGATTTCAGATATAACCAATAAATCTTTAGGAGGGGCATGCCAGGTAGCCAGTGCTCCCTAAAATTACATTAAGGGATGTACAATGGGGTGTGTGTGTGTGTGTGTGTGTGTGTGTGTATGTATGTGTATA